TGTGACAATAAAATAACTTTTATCTGTATAAACGCATACATATATGTATACATAAAGCTAGATTTGGGACTTATTTTAGTTATATGGAATGAAAAATACTTTAAGATGAACTATTGTTGTTACGTCCACCGTTAGGCACTCAGTATAGTTAACTGTTTTAAATAAGAATCTGCAATATATATACATAGAGATGATATGCAAAAGAGACTACATGAAGTGATATCAGCAGGGGGTCAATCAATACACATATTACAGTTAGCCTACTCCCAAATAAAAAACTGATCCGTCACTTCAAACTATTTAAAAAGGGGAAAAGGATAGTAAAGAAACCCTTTTGTTTAAAGAACAAATAAACAACTGTTTAAGTGATAAATAACAGGTGACGAAAAGCAATTTCCTACAATTTTCATGCTTAGCTGATTTCGTATACTTGTGAAACATTTAAGGCTTACATATAGTATGATGCGCCAAGTTGACACAAATTGATAAATATTCAGATCACAGCACGGTGTTAAAATTTTATATTCATACACAGGTGAATTGTCTACAAGAACAGTCCGTTGACCAATTATCCAACAGTGAAAACCTCTTTGGTGTAAGAGCAAAATCTGGACACCGTGATTGAATGTAATTAATTACAAGCAACAAAAAGTGAAGCAGTATTATTTACTGGATAAACTTCACTATGCCAGTGTGCGCTGTATGAAATAAACTTAATTGTTGTAGAGTCAAGGCTTTCGAAAGAAAAGCCTAGATATGTGAAATATCGTCACTTCATGGGTGTAGGAAATTTTCTGACAACTCGGATATACAATGTCCAAGAATAACAAAATGCATAATGTATAGAATAACAAAGATGTACGATCTATCTTACGAGCAACCGTTGCTCAAGATTCTAGTATTGTTCGTGACAGCTGATGAGCCAAGGACTGTAAACACCAAATGATGCAACAACCAAAGAAGACAAACCAAATATCATTTACAAAATCAACTGCAATAACTGTAGTCAACACTACATCGCACAAAGTGATCGCTCTTTTCGCCTTCGTCTATATGAGCACCAATTGGCTATTAAACGTCACGACATTTCGTCACTCATTTCAATGCACTTGTATAATTATGGACATGAATTCAATTTCAACAATGTAGAAGTTTTGGACAGAGGAAACACAAAAAATATCAGAGAATTCCTAGAAGCTTGGCATTCAAGTCAGTCAGCAATCAATAGATGTATAGAAATAGACCCGATCTATCAACCAATGAGAAAAACGATAAAAGACAGAAAGGTCAGAGATCAAGCAGAGGAACAGTCAACAGCAACATCCATACAGTCAATGACACAACAATGGAAGGAAACAACCAATCACAGACCACATCGTCAGAGCAAGCTACTAAATCACTCACGGAGAGATATTGACAGCTCACTTCATGCTGAAGTTAGTGCTGATGATGTCGTCTAGCAAGACGATGAAAGCCTCACGACTAAACAACCCAGCTCAGAGAACATAGTATGACCAAGACTGTAAACACTGTTTAGTAAGTTAATAATATTTCCACTGAAAGCATAGACCATTTAATCAGATTTCGGATGGTTGAAGTATCGGCCTTATGTTTAAATAAGGTATTGAACTATATTTGGTGAAATCTTATACCACAACAACCTTTGTTGAAACGTCACGTTGTTTCCTCCAATAGGTAAAAAAGGGTCAATAATTTACCTATGACCATTCTGTTATTCAAAATACGTGTAAAGTTGATAGGTTTTATTGGTACCATAACTACTTAACTGACTTACTATGCTTATAAAAATGTCTAAATTAACCCAGGTAAAGAGATAAGTAATGATAAAACATTGCTGTATATATATATATATATATATATATATATATATATATATATATATATATATATATATATATATATATATATATATATATATATATATATATTGCTTTCATAGCATACACTGAAACGATGGCTCGCGCAAACACATTTATTAGTATAAAGAAAAGGAAAGACACTTCAGTGGAGATACGTTCCCTTCTCGTCAACTTCTATTTATCTTTTCCATTCCCTGTGACACACTAGTAGTCAAGATTGGTGAAATGATTAGTTAAACACCTCAAAGAAATGCATTTCCAACATAGAGCGTTTCTATGTTGAATTTATTATTTCATAGTGAGTAAATGCAGTTTTATCGTTGGCACGATGGCAAAATAACATTAGTAAGAAAATAAATGAGATAACATTAAAAATGATCACATACAAATCTAACTATAGTGCGAAATATGACCCCGAGAAACCCACTGGAAATTTAAGTTATACAAGTAATATTTTATTGCTTATATCTCATTATTGTGCTAAGAATCAGATGGTTTGAAGATTGTATCCCTGGTAAAATGACTGTCGTCAAGACTCCACGAGAGCCAAGCTGCAGTAGCCATTCTTTTCTAACTACTTAAGAATGCCTCAGAATCGCTAACCCACTATTCTGCACTTGACCGACAACATGACTTTAAGTTCTAACTATACATTTTTAAGTTGTCCTAAGGTTGTAATGTTTTCTAGGGTTCATTATTTGCAGATATCCCATTAGTTGATAACAATTCGTGATAGAAACAAAATGTACTTCAACCGACTTTTTACAAACTACCTGTTTGAACGCCAATTAAGTGATTACCGTTGGAATAGAATATCAGAAGTTGTACCGCACTGTGATCTCGGAAATTAATAATTTGGGGAGACGAACGAGCATCATTTAGTTATAGTTGGTGACGATGGTGTTCTGTTAGAAACTGGCTGATTTTGGAAGAGGTGAACCAGTGAATTTCAATCCGTCAACTCAATAGTACCGAGCTTAGAGAAACAGAGAGGGATAATGCTACATTTTCAGTCAGTAATGTTTAGGAATCTCACAATAAGACGCAACAAGGGTTACTGAACGCTGTCTACCTAAGGTGAAAAGATTGGCGGCAAAGGGAATTCTGTTTGTGAATTCTGATAGTCTCTTTCTGAGGATATCTGCTATATTGTCTCTCTTGAGTTTGAGGTCCAACAGTAAAATCTTTTACGGGGAGTATGTAAGCGTTCCGAGGCTTTTTTTCGACTTCAGATTCTTATCCATATATTTCGTTGAGTACCCATTTCTCATCAGGATTTCTTGCAAGTCTTCTAGTTCACCTTCGACAGTATCCTCCATGCATATTCTTCGTACTGTTAGAGAGAGTGAACTGATGATTCCTCTTTCTGCTGAAGAGGGTAATGCTTTGGAAATTAATAAAGTGCCCATCCCAAGTGGTTTCGCTGTAAATAGATCTTTGGACTGAATTGTCATGTTTTCTTTGAAGTTGGGCATCAAAGAAGTGGAACTTCGAGCTTGTCTCCTCTTCTAGCGTGAATTCGATAAAGGGATGAGCATTGCTGAAAGTTTGAAACAGGTTTTCAAGATTTGTATTCGTGCCACAAGTAAAGATATCATCCATGCATATTTGGCTCCTTTTGATAATTCCTTCAAGCTTTTGTACCAAGCCACTCAAAAAAGAGTAAGGTTAAGACATCTATGGGTAGCTCAAACATTGGCAATTCAAAAGTTCAAACCATCATTGTGCGTTTTTTGCTGTGGCTATCGTAGAGGACCGATCACTCTAGATAATTCCCCTGTGACGTAACTACTTTATATTTTGTAGTCATCTTGTTTATTTCCTCCTATTAAACGCCTATAAATACCGTATAACTTTTCTTTGTCATGCAATTTATATCGACCTTTGATTGGAAATTACTTTGGAATGTTATATCCTTTCTACTATATATTCGTCGAAAAGTCCATTTTCACTGTAATTGTCTTCTCTCGGTCCCTGACCTTATGGAAAACGAGACTGTTTGTATTTTACTAGCATTATTATCACATTTATTCTTTTTCAAAAAGTGAGCTACGTCTACAGAAACTTATGTCTCTCAAATATGTTAGAATTCTGAAAGTAAAACTCATTTAATTAAGAGGTGGATCATGGTTTATAGCGTTGACTAGTATATTTTTCGCTATTATATTCAACTAGTGTGTCAAGTAACTCTTTAAAGTGTTTTTTAATTATGTAATTTGGCATTGCTAACTTAGCTGGATCCAAATGACTGGCTTTGTTACTTCATATTTGATGTACGTTTTCATACTGACTAGAACTTTCATCTGAAGGCCTGTACACTAATTTTCTTATTCAATATTGATTCCAGCCTCCACCTTTTCACTCAACCTGAATTCATCGCTGCTATACCAACATACATGTAATCCAGCACGAAGCCGGGTGCGTGTGGGCAGTAAACCTGTGGATGACAAGCCAAAGAGGATCGCTTAAATAGTGTAAAATGGTAAAGACATAAACAGGACGAAGTGCAAGTATATAGTATACAACTCTATTGAAACCTCGCACACGATCATAAAATCATATGCCGTCCCATCAACCTTGGTGATTTGGCAACATATAGTCACGTGAACATCATAAGAGTATCTGATGGGCTAGGCACCCCAAGTGGACGGGGCATCCGGGTTTGCACCGTGGATCTCTCGATCTGCAGTCGACTCCCCTACCACTGAGTATATACCAATTTTCTGAGTCGCTAGAGTAGCTTAACATGCAGCTCGTAATAATTGATGCTTAACCCATTTCTAAGACAATCGAATACAATTTTTTGTATGTTGTGTTCAGGCCGTAAAGTGAAATCCAACATCCAGTAGAATCCATGTAGAACTAGTGGACCAGTCTTAGATAGGTTAAAAATGAATGCTGGATATGCATGGAAAAATCCTTTTAAAACAAATTTGAGGTTTCATCATCATTTGAAATGACTAGGTTATTTCGTCTTGATTACACATAGTTATTTAATTACACTTTACATCTCCTCAAATGTTGCCACTGAGCATCCACTGGTTTTCGAGCATTTACTTAAATTCTGGCCGAAGTTTTTAAGCAATAACAATTTCATACTTTAAGAGTTGAATAACTTACTCGAACATCATCGATTCCAGAAATTGATGCTTCTGGTCTGTCCAAAACAAGGAAAGCAGCTAAATTAGCTGTATAACTGGCTACAATAATCATAGCGAATCCCGCCCAAACCATACCCAAAACACGAGCACTAAAAGATCGAGGAGTACCTTCACCAATGCCAGAGTTTAAAAGAACACCCCAAGCAAAATAAACCGCAGCACTCAAATTCATACCTTCTTCTTGCTGTGAAGTGTTTTCAGCTGAATTTGTTAGTAATAGTGAATTGCTGTCAATAGTTTGCTTTTTGAAGTCTAACTGATGTAAAGTTAAATAGCTACCATTCTCATCGGCAGATGAATCACTGTCAGTATTTGATCGACTAAATGGTGAAAACCGATCCAGCAAGTACAGTACAAATGCTACGACGTGCACAGATAAAGCTACCAATACCCATAGTGAACTTTCAAAAGGTTGTAGAAATGATCCAAGATTTGATCTAGCACGTTCCTATAAAAAAGATTAGTGCGAAAATTCCATGCATACAGAAACATGTATAAAGCATTGTACTGTACAGTTATGATTGTGAGTATTACTTAAACAAGTTTTTCAGATAACTTAAGACATAAGAACTAACCGGCAATAAATGATCACATCTATCTATTCATAGACATTTTGTTAACAATCTTTTTGACATAAACATGCAATTCGGATCTTATGTGCATGTTCACTGAATACTACTTCTTAATAATAAGATGTAAGCTGTTCAAAATATTTCAGTTTTCATCCTTCAGATTTTCATGTTTATCGAGTTAAGGTGGTCTTTATAATTTACAGCCAATGCATGAAGAAATAAGAGTTAATTTGGTATATAAACTTTTGCTACCTTGTGTTTGTCAATTCATTGAACATTAGAGGCGCTTAACTGATAAACTTAGTTATGGTAACGATATTTGCACTCAGTTTTTAAACTGTATTTGCTTATCTCTTTCCATATGAAGTCTCTTCCATTGCACAGAATGTTTTTTGTCCATTTTCAACTACATTAATTTGTGCTTCCATAAGTGCTGTCGATACTGAGCATATCATTATATGGGCATACAGTTACATAGAACTGCTACTCAAACAAGAATTTGTCGGAATTAATTCATTGATTTCAGTTAAAAATTCATCACGGATTGTCACCAGTCGCAGGGTCATAGAAAACCTGAAAGAAATGGACAGCTGTTATAAAATAGATTTCTCGCATTTCTAATGAGAAGTTTTGATTCAACCAACTCAGGGGGCTGGTGGATGTGGGAGAAGGGTTCTTGGTTGGTTCGTTGCCAGAGTTCCTAGTTGCTTATTGTGACTCGCGTTACTGGACTCATTTAGAAAACTGACCCTTTCGTGTCAGTGGTCGAACAGAATGTCTTGGAGAATACGTAGTTAGCTGTTTACTCTGATAGCAGATAACTGGAACAACAAAAATTATGATCCGAAGAAATGCTGTTCTGCTGTTTAGTGACCACTAGTTATTTTAAAGTTTGAATAGGATAGTGAAACTCACCCTTCACATCTTCTTGAGGTTAAAAAGTCAGTCTAGCCGTCATTATTACCATGCTTCGAGATGAGATTTTTCGGATTTCTGATGATACGTCAACCTTTGGGGCAAATCAAGTCGGAAGTGGCAACAAATTCTCAACAGTGACACTGGATGATGGTCGCGCTGTATTACGAATTGACGGAAGTAAGAAAAGGTGGACAATTAGATTCCAACCCAGTGGCTCAATGGTAACGAGCTCCCCACGAAACCTGAAGGTACTAGGCCCGGTCTCTGAGAGGATCACGGGTGCACACTGCTGAGGAGTCCCATACTGAGAAAAAACAGCTGCCCAGTGCTCCAAGGTTTTCAATAGTGCTCCAACTGATGCTAGTCCATAATGAATTTCACTCAGGAATCTGTAATGGCTTGGAAATGAGGAAAGACAGACGATTCTCTCAAGTTACCTGCAAATGTTTTTCGGAACAACTGAACAAGCTAGGCTGTGCACTCTACACCAGTTTACTGGGTAAAGATCATGGGCTTGGTAAAAAACTGGCTTTTCATTCTTCCAGTATATATGAGTCAAAGTAAATTCTACTTTAATTACAAAGTAAGAATTATACATGAATAGTTTCTAAAACTTCAAAATTCATAATCCCTTAAAGCCCAAATGGAGTTGTAAAGAGCAAATTTGACTACTGGTCACCCATATTCTTTACTCTTTGAGACACTGGCTGTATTTCTTGGTCCGAAAGTAGAATTCGACTTTAACTATGAAGAAATGTCGTGGCGGTCACATAATCTTTTACAACCATATCCTATTTTCCTCTCAGAAATTTTCTCTCTAATCAAAACATGACGTTTTTGATGTCCTTATCTCTAACAGCTACTGTATACTTATGATTTTACTTCAATATGAATTCTATGCAAGACTTAACAAGTATTCAACCGAAGGAAATTCACAACATGAGTCAAAGAACTGCTGCAATTGACCAGGTGATATGGTACAAAAAAGGAAATTTCTTCACAGAAAACCTAGTGTGACTTACTCGTTTGACCAGAATAGTAATCCCTAGATATTTGAATGGTTTAGTGAATTCAACTCGTGCAGCTCTTTCAGGTGTAATTGACACCGGGGCAACAGCTAGATCTGCTGTACCTGATAAAATTTCCCCGATAATACCAGTCCATTTATGCGTTTCATTCTCGTCGACATCACCAATTTGACCATCCCCAACTAAATGTAGATCGTAAGTGAATGGAGTAGAGGTTAGTTCTAATCCTGTTCTATTGGCCAACAGTCGAAGAAGATCAATGCAATAGCCATAACAACAATAAGACTTTTTAACACCTTAAAAAGAAACAAACGAAATAAGAATATATTTACAAGGAAAAATTGTAAACGACGGTTTTACTTTGCGCAGAAAAATATTTATCAGATTACAAGTTTCCACTATGTTCAATAACTGATGACCGGCTGAAATAATTATCTGATTAAAAGGAGCCGATTTTCTTCGAAGATTCAATGCATACTAGGTAGTGAATAATTTTACAAAAGCAGAGGAAATACTTAAATCTTCATAAATTGAGATAATCTACTACTGTCTGATATACCATAAGAAAAGAGACTAAAGCTTGTGCCGATTGTAAAACATAATTCAAATGTTTTAATGTTAATTTACTTATCAGGCATAACTGAGATGCATTAGGTTCACACTATCGAAGGCAAAGGTTTGTATATCTATGCAAATTCTTATCACTGGAATTTCGCGTTTATCAAAGAATTTTGAAGCGGGTGATTTTTCGTTTTAAAATGATAATTTAATGGTAATCTTAATAAAATTACTACCATGCAACTAAAATGCTGTTTATTTTCAACTATTTATGGCCTTCGGAAGTTACCAGGATAATTTATAAGCAAAAATGCTGAAATTTCTGAAAAATATCTACCATTCTATGTTACACAATGTGCATATTTCGAAACATATGTATCTGCTTATTTTCATGCTAGACGTATACAGATAAGAAAGAGACATTCGCTTTAACAACTGCATGCGGAATGAATTCATCACAAGAAGTTAATTTCAATGATTTTCAGCAAAAAAAATAATAACTGAATAGCGATATCACTAAGCAATAATAAGAATATTGCATTACTGGTAACTTCAAGCAACAAGGAGCTCTGGGAACGAACCAACCAAGAACCTATCACCCAACAAATATGCAGAAGGAAGTGGAGATGGATTGGCCATGCACTGAGAAGGCCGACTGGGGACATCACGCGTCAGGCCCTCGGGTGGAATCCCCATGGGAAGCGACGAGTTGGACGTCCGAAGGTGACATGGAGGAGATCGTGCGAGGAGGAAATGAGAGCTTCTGGGCTGTCGTGGAACCAGGTTCAAAAGATCTCAGAGAACAGAGGTCACTGGAGACGTGCTACTGAAGCTTTATGTTCCATTAGGAACCCAAGGGACTAATAATAATAATAATATAATTACTGGTAACTTCAAGTTTTTCTGTGAACAGATGTTCTCGTCAGATATGAAGAAGAAAGTAATGTGGCTGTATTGATAACTGCCATCAAATTATCAATTGGTTACTAAACAAAACTTAAAAAGATGTCTCTAAATTCACTACTACATTATTCGGATATCGTATGATTGCATAGTATCAGTAAGGTGAAACGTAATTGTGAAATTTAAATATGATCTCAAAAGGGGAACTAAAATGTTCGAACCACAATATGTGATCTACTTTCAGGTATTAGTGGCAACAAAACTGCTTCTATTAAAGCATATACTTGAGTGGATCTTCCAATCCAATTAGTACCTTTTGAGATGATATTAACACCAAACTATCATTTTGTTTGCTTGAGACAGATACTAATATCTCAATATGTCTAGAAAATGTAACTGATAGACGTGAATGATTCGTAACTATGTATATTATTCAACTAATAGTCATCTAAAAGTCTATATGTATTTCCACACAAACTCCACGTACACAATAATATTTAAATAATGCCCTAGATAACAGTTTTTTCAAAGTTCTTAAAGAATAATATTTCAAAAATGGACAACTAGCCAAGCAATCAGAATAGCTGTATGATAGTCGTCGATAATACTAAACATCGAAACGGAAGTTACTTTTGTTTATCTATAGGTAGGTATCAAAAGTAACACTCAGAGTTGCTAATGAAACAGTTCGGTTTTAGATGTAGTTTAAAAAGATGTGTCTAATATTAGTAAAGTTTTAAATTTGATATGATCCATAGTTGCTTGTAATAATTTAATCCTTAGGAAGCCGTTACACTTGTTTAGCTTACTTCACTTCCAAGTAGCACATTGTGTGAAAAAAGGAGAGGAATGAAACAATTATCATGGGCTATAGGAAGTAAGGATATGATTTAGGTCAATAATCCCCTGATCTTTACAAAACACCATTCAAAAAATGTATGGGTTTTCACCTGCCATAAGAAAACAGTCATTAGGTTTTAAATTCTCTTTGACATCTGTACTGGGATAATATGTGAACGTCTAGACTTATGTAAGCATACACACCACTCCCAAGCCAATGAACTTTTAAGCTGACAAAAGAAACTCACTGAAAAACTGAAATTAAACAATTGGACCAACTGCAAAGGAAACATGAAGTGAAAAAAGAGCTTCGATAGCATTTTGGATATTAACTAAAAAGGCTATCGGATATATTTTTGAAGAAAAGATTTAGTAGTGTGAAAGGACACTGGAGTAAAAAAAGTATAATTACAAACACGATTTTCTATTCATTTTCAGAAACATCTTCATGACTTATGATGTCCAGGCATTTGTTTTCACTATCTTCTGAAATTAAGCCTGAAGTAACTTATCCCCCATAAGTTTTGGAACATCTGCTGGTGTCTACACGAAAGGATGTGGTTTTTTCTTCTGCTAGACGGATCTTTTACAGGGTGGCTTTATGCATAGCACTCTGCTTCTCTTTGCTGTTACTTTGAAATAGACTTAACATGTAACAGTAAAAGGCAGCTGCTTACTTACAGTTAAATATTGCAGTGATCCTGATCACTTTATTCAAAATTACGGACTGTAAAAGTTCATTTTCTCTCCAAAAATATCTTTGTTAAAAGAAATTTCAACTTATTCTCGACTGACAAAGTAATTGGTAAGATGAAACGTTGGATATCAATAACTGATATGTTCTTATTGCTAGCTTTATTCGATTTTTAGTGACTGAAGGTGAAACCTGATAGACTCTTCCTTCTCATAATTTATATTCTAAGACATCGTAAGGCTTTTAAAGCTAAGTAATTCGTTCTAGAAATAGCTTTCGAAGTCACAACTGACTCCACCTACGATTATCTTCACTTTTCAAAGATATGGAAATTCTTAGAGGTTTTATATGAACATTTAGTTATAATATCACTTTATTTCCCACTTTCCCTTACACATCAGACAATAACATAAATTACTTTATAAAACTCAGTTATCCCTTTTCTTTACCTATCTAAACGATAACAACTTCATCCCTTGTCTTAGCTAGTGTCCATAACACATCAACTTATTGCGAGTTTACTATTATTGAACAAGAAGAAAGCCAATCACATATGCAGCGCTTCATATTCGAGGTGATTCAGTGAATCTCACCAATAAGAGCATTGCTATTCCTAGTACAATAAAAAATCCTGTGCATAACATTTGAACCAATTGAAATTCACTACAAATTGGAACAAATAATAAACTTACAAATTATTTTTGGTAATAAAAAACATGCTTGTGTTACTTTTATAAGATTAGTCAAATTATTTATTGACTGTATCACAAGTTTTCCTTATAACAAGGAAATTATGATCAGATTAGAATGATATTGATGGATATGTATACATAATTAGCTTTAAAAGCATAGAAAATTAAAAGATTGTTCAATTATCTAAATGCATATTATTACAACCAACTGTTTCATTGTATAGAACATGCCTTTTCAGTACCACACTTATCTCATGTTTCATCCAATCACTTCTTTCAATAAACTTCAAAACAATTCCTTCAAAGCTGTACGTCACAGAAACTATGCGAAAGAAGGGTAGCACCAATCAAATTATCAATCCAGCTGTTAACAATGATATGCCATGCATAATTGAAAATGATTTGTGTTTTTGTACAACAACTAGAAATACTTATAGAACGATAAATGGTCACAATTATTATCACCGTCATCATTACTTTGGTGACGATGATGATGTCAGTGAAGGAAATCGAACTAACAGAACTGATGTTGAATACACTTCCAATGCTATGTCGAACTTTCTATCCATTTGCTGTCAACCAAAAGTAGTTAGATTACATTTCTATGGATCAGGTATCAAGTTTATAAAACCAGAAATATTCACACAGTTTGCATGCCATGAAGTGGTTGAACTGACATTAGAATCAACAATGATCAGTATGTCATCAGTATCATCCTCTATAACATCATTATTGACATCACCAAAACAGTATCCACCGAAACACTGACCAATCCAAACTATTTTATAGGCCTACCGAATTTGATCAGATTGCGTTTGATAAACAATCCACGCATCCAACTGTATGCATCAGGGATTTTTACTGGTATAAGTAGTAACCTACAAGAGTTGTATTTAACAGGTAATCCAGTGAAACAAATCTCTGTTGAAGATTTTAACAAATTTACAGCTTATGAAAATCGTCTTACCAGTTTAGATTTAAGTTATAATCAGATTGCAATTATTGAACCAAAGTGTTTTTCAGGAACACTCAAAGATGGAGGGATGTATCATTTAAGAAGGTTGAATTTAGCGCATAATCATCTTTCAATTATAAAAGTTAATATGTTCTCTGGTCTTTCATATTTAGAAGAATTAAATTTAGCTGAAAATCCAATTATGCATATTGAAGAGGAAAGTTTTCGAAATTTAATTAGCTTGCGTAAACTAGTTATTGAAGGCACTGTAAAAATGGTTTATAATAAAACAATTGAAACATTCACACGTGAGATGTTCAAAGACTTGAAAGACTTACAAGATTTAACATTAGTTGGATTACAACTGCAGTCATTGAATACGGACACATTTACAGACTTATATCAGCTGAGAAGACTGAACCTGGCAAGAAATAGATTTACCAAAGTGCCAGTGATTCACAATCATGATCATGAAGATGAGACAAATTTCTCAATGGATGTTGTTTCTCCTCAAACAGCATTAATATTCCCCATTACAATTAAAACTAAATTAATATATCTGAATTTGTCACATAATCAGATAACCTGCTTACAGCCTAGTGCTTTCCAATACTTATACAAGCTTAAACATTTAATAATGAATTTTAACAGGATAAATATTATAACACGTGATGCATTCATTGGATTACATTCCCTACAGATATTAGAACTTCAAGGAAACCCACTGACATTCATACAACCTTATGCTTTTATACCGGTTAAAATAAGTCTGAAATCATTGTTTCTTAGTGATATAATAAGTGAAGAGCACGGGAATGTCATAAAATACCTTAATCGAACTTCGTTTGCACTACTCACAACGGCGACAAAAATTATTGGTTTAGAAAAATGGAATATTTTCACAGGATGTAACCAAACTATTGATATCATGTTAAGTAGTAACAAGCATTATACCAAAGATATTGGTAAAGATATAAAATGTGAAGCAGATGTTGAACTAATCACTAAGATGCTTATTGATCCTAAAATAACAGAAGTAGCAAGCAGTAGTGTGAATGCTGAAAGGGAACACGAAGAGAGTGAGCTGTCGTTTACACAAATTAATGATAGTGTTATTCATGACAACCTTAACGAAAGTCAAAATATCGTAATTATAATTTTTGGTTCAGGTATGAGTTTAATCATTATCCTACTGATATTGTTGATGCTTTATCGACTGTATGCATACAAGTTAAAATCAAAGGATACAAAACACACATCATCCACATATTTAAAGTCAAAGGAAAAGACATTTTGTTTAGAAAAGGGAGCTCAGGCATGACAACTTCAGTAAACAGTAGATATACTCAAAGTCACGAGAAGATAATTAAGAGCGAAAATATGAATAATGTTGGATGTGATGACTTCAGCCACCATATGGGAACTCTAACAAACCTTCACATACAGAATCAGTTGTTCGAACCGATAACCAGCTCATTCAAATTAGGCTCATTTATATCAAATTCAACACAGAGTGTACCCTACAATAATAATTATCTAAATTATAATTGGTCCATGATAAATCCATTTCAAAGTGTTAATATCCTCATGAATACAATAAACCAGAATGAAAATCATGTAAACTATACACATCGACAGGGAGAACAATGTTCACAAAAGCGGCAACAACGAAAACAATACGATGGTGTAGTCATGAACTTAACTGGATCACCGCAAACAACCTACTTGAGTGATGATTCTTATAATTTAATCAGTGTGAATAATAACACTAATAATGATGAAAAAGAAATCGCACAATCAGGCAGTTCACTCCGATTACAAAAAATGTACACTATCAAAAGTAACAGTCAGAAATCAGAGATCATCTATCCTCATACGATATACAAAAATTCCATGTTACGTCCACTGAATCAATCCTGCAATGAAAATGTTTATGGTGATGAGAATGAGGATGAAGATGGGAAACCATTTATCAAAGAACTGGGTATTATATAAAAACAGGCTGTTATTTTTTGAACACTTCTGTAAATAATTTATATCTGAAGTTCAACTCATGTA